CAAATAGAGAAGAAAGGCTTCGGTGCACCTTCAAAGGCAGCTGCGGCTCTTCCTTCCATTGGGGTAAGTTGCAGAGTCTCCCATCTATAGTTTGCTAGCAAGCATCATCCTTCTAGAACTAGGTGAATTTCCTAAACAAGCTTCAGATTTCAACAATTTACTTCATTCTTCACACAATCTAATGGCTCCATGGCAGGAAGATTTCGACAAACGAACTCAATCTATAACTGCAAAGTCAAAGTTAAAAGCTGAAATTCGGTTCGTGGCAGAGTGAGAGTGCAGGTTTTTTTTAAAAAAATTATTTTTTTATTTAAAGTTTTTAAATATTTTTATTTTATTTAAAGCCACGTGGCTTTATATCATTGGATGTGTGGGCTCCACACATGTGCCACGTCAGCAATTTAACAGAAAATTTGACGGAAGCTAACGGCAGGGACCACTTTGATGTGTAGATGGTAACCTTAAGGACCATTATAAAAAAATTATTTTTTTATTTAAAGTTTTTAAATATTTTTATTTTATTTAAAGCCACGTGGCTTTATATCATTGGATGTGTGGGCTCCACACATGTGCCACGTCAGCAATTTAACAGAAAATTTGACGGAAGCTAACGGCAGGGACCACTTTGATGTGTAGATGGTAACCTTAAGGACCATTATCAGATTAGAAATACAAGATTGATGAGAGAGACTTTGTCTAAAATGTGCCCAATAAGATTTTCGGCAGCAAAAAATAGTCGGATGGAGATTTGGGATTCTCAAATAGATTAATTTTCTTTTGATATATTTGTGAAATAAGCAAAAACAATACCCAAGGGAATATGACATTTTATTTTCTTTTTAGAGATTTCCGTGTAAATATTGTTGTATGAATTAATATTATGAGTGTTAAATTTTATACTAAAAGTCATGAACGAGTACATAGGGTGGCTAGATTAGATTACATAAATCCATATATATTGAAATTGTTGTAGACTAATAATGCTAAGGCCACAAAGTTAAACAGGCAAGGATTGTGAAATTGTGGCAGACACTATATCAGATGGGATCTTTGATTTTCAAAATTTAGAGTTTTTTTGTAGTTTGATAATAATCTGAATGGCCTCATCCCATCATCAATCTTCAATATCTCTACAATAGAGTAATGGAATTATATTTACAGCTAAACCCGCCAGAAATGTTTCCCAAACGAGCCCTAAGAGTAATAGAGCTATATTTGCACCTAAACCAACCTGAAATGTCTTCAGTTTGAATATAGGGGATGCACGCACGCATGCACTACTAAAGTTTCGCTTTGCAACCTCTTCCTTTATTACAAGCCAAGTCCTTGCTACATTTCTTCTCCATTCAAGTGCACTTTGCCCTGCTCCGCTTGGTCAACTGGTCAACCACCAATCCACATTCATTGACAAAAAAAAAAAGCTTCACTAACCCACCAACCCATACTCACAAACCATAATGACGAATGTGATTATGGGCACAATTAATGTGTACCAGTATCCTTAATGTCTCCACCACAATTAATTAAGCGTGAGTGGGAAGGGAAGTGCAATTCTGATATAAGCATACATTTGACCATGTGACTCTTAATTGTGAGTGAGTGAGTGAGTGGTATTAGGTAATCTTTTCAGACCTTAACAAATAAGAAAATGTGAATTATTTTAATGGGCTGTTTCAGCAACTAGTTATTCCTCTTTTCATTTTGTGAGGCTAAGAGCATCTTCAAGAGTAGTAGCAAATAAATTTTTTTAAATTGAAGTTTGTTGATCTATATGGTAATTTGAAAAGCCTTATTTACTACTTGAATAATTTTTGCTTTAACAGACTCTTCAATACAATTAATGTAATATCATAAAAAAAATATGAAAAATATCTATGTATTTATTATATGAAGACATTTACAGCCAGAGTTGCCGGATGTTGCTCCTATGACGGGGTGTAAATGAATGCAAATATAGCATTTGACCCAAAAATGTGTTAAAAAAATGACATTTACATATGATTTTACATTCTCATTTGATGGGCCCCACATGTTGAAAAGGAGGAGAGATAATGCAAAGATGGTGGGCTCCAAGCATATAAAAGGTGAAATCGCTACCAAAATACCAGAAATATCCTTAAGATGAGAAACATTTTATTTGTCTAAAATTTGGGATCTTATAAGGCCAAGTCCAGCGGGAGCACAAAACCGGGCAAAAGGCAGCCCAGTCAAGCCAAACAGGCCTCCAGCGCGCAGCCTCAAGCCCGGGCAAGTGGTGGGTTCCACCAACCTGGGCAAGCCCACGGGCAGATCTTGCCTGGGCTGCAGCCCGAAGGCGCTGACGCCAGCGCTGATGTCACGCTGACGTCAGTGAGCAAAAAAATTCAAAAAAAATTCAAAAAAATCCAAAAAAATTCAATTTTTTTATTATAAAAAATACCAACAAATTATGGATATTTTCCCCATAAATACATAACAATTTTATTCACTTTCTAAATTGTTTATATTTTGTTGCATAATCTTTTTTTTTCTCTTGCCCTTGCCCTAGCCTTCATGGGTGGAACCAACTAAGGCAAGGCTGCCACTATTCACATGAATAGTGGCAGCCCTTGCCTTGCCTTGCCCTTGCCCTTGCCCTAGCCTGGGTGGACTTGCTCTAATGGTGTGGCAAACAGGATTGCAAACCTTGCTTTTGCTTTAACCGATTCGATCACATGGGTTGGGGTCCCTCCTCAGCACATTCATGACGTATTGGTTGAAGATATGACATGTTATAACTTGTTATGTTTTTTAATATATCTGATCGTTTCCTTCAACAACAAAAAAACAAATAAGAAACGAGAATTATTATAGTGGGCTATCATTTCATTGACAGTCATATAAAAACGATAAAAATGATAAAAATTGAAATTGTATAAATTCTACCAAGCGTTAGGCTAAAAGCTCAAATCATTGAGCTTTCTATATAATTGAGCCTGAATAACTGAATATTTTGATTACCAAAAACAAAGAATAACTAAATATTTCTGAAAAAGACATGAACAGGAAATAAAAACTCAAAAGCTAAAGATAGTGGGAAATTTTTTCCTTGACTTAAATATGTAGGCTAGGGAGCTTTAGCTTGGGCTTCATATCAACCATCTTTTAATTAAATAAAAATTTAAGTTAAAGGTTTAGCTTTAGCTTTATCTTGACCAACAAAAATTTTAAGATAAAGGTTTGATTAAGGACTTTTAATATCAACACCATGTTTTAAATCTGTTAGCGTGTTGACCATTTTGTCCCATTTATATTGAATATTTATTTTTGTTTTAGTGTTTTTAATTAACCAAGAATATTTTGGGATTTTTGAATGTTTCACCATTCTCTATCTTTTGCTATATATATAGAAGATGAAAACATTCACTAAAAAGGAAGCCAACAAAGCAAATGAGATGTTTATTGGGGATATGAATTTAAAACAATGGATTATGAATGAACTCACCATAACCTGATGCAATGAATTTAAGTCCCGTTATGCCTAGATAATCAAAGTGAAGGGCCCTCATTATGCGAAGGAGACTGGATTGATTTTTTTATTTTTTTTATTTTTTTGGGGGGGTCTGAAAGGAGACTAGATTGATTGACCATATATATACGAATCATGATTGACGGAATATCACGAATCATGATTGACGTGAAGACGCGTGGAAACAGGCGCCCAATTGTCCATTCTTCCTTTCTTACAAGACTACAAGTCTAAGTCTAAGTCGTTGTGATGAAAACAAACAGACAAATGGATTTAACACCGAAAACATACATTCCATATGAAAGCTCTTGAAAGGCCCTGTTAGTTGCACCGAGCCAAAACCCCCACTTCCAAGTAAGTTGCTTTCGTTAAATCTATTTGTCCATTCTTCCTTTCCTACAAGTCTAAGTCGTTGCATTCGGCTACTTGCCCCACTCTTTGGCACCTTGTTCTGCCTTCATATATTGGCACTGCAACAAATTATTCGATGATTTCAAGTTCTAAATCGGAAAGGAAAAAACAAACGAAAAACACCTAATAAACTAGGACATACAAACTGAAGAAACGTGTTTCGCTCAAAGAAATATGACATTTTGTCCTTTCATCTCCATTACACAGGTCCTCAATTAATTTTTTTAGGGATCTGATTTTCATTTTAGAGATTTCAATGAAAACACTGTTGTATTAATTTACATTTGATACTAAAAGTCCTGAACGAGTACATAGGGTTAGATTAGATTACATCAATCCATACATAGTGAAATTGTTGTATACTAATAATGCAAGGGTTAGATGGATAAATAAATTCATAGCTTCTTACATACTTTGAATCGAGTTGGTATCAGAGGAAGCCAAGCAATATTCCATACCTATTGTGCACTGTGATATGAAGCCAAGCAATATATTACTTGATCATGACATGGTTGCTGCTGTCATATAAAAACGATAAAAATTGAAATTGTATAAATTCTACCAAGCGTTAGGCTAAAAGCTCAAATCATTGAGCTTTCTATATAATTGAGCCTGAATAACTGAATATTTTGATTACCAAAAACAAAGAATAACTAAATATTTCTGAAAAAGACATGAAGAGGAAATAAAAACTCAAAAGCTAAAAGATAGTGGGAAATTTTTTAACACCGACAAATGGATTTAACAGACATGAAGAGGTCTAAGTCTAAGTCGTTGCAATGAAAACAAACAGACAAATGGATTTAACACCGAAAACATACATTCCATATGAAAGCTCTTGAAAGGCCCTGTTAGTTGCACCGAGCCAAAACCCCCACTTCCAAGTAAGTTGCTTTCGTTAAATCTATTTGTCCATTCTTCCTTTCCTACAAGTCTAAGTCGTTGCATTCGGCTACTTGCCCCACTCTTTGGCACCTTGTTCTGCCTTCATATATTGGCACTGCAACAAATTATTCGATGATTTCAAGTTCTAAATCGGAAAGGAAAAAACAAACGAAAAACAAAGTTGGAAGGAACTTCTCTGTTTTCGGTGCTCGTGGTCATGGAGAGAAGTTGTTTCCTCTTGTCAATCACCTTCTTGCTGGTGCTGCAGCTGCAGTACAGTTCTATAGGCATGCCCCATGAATTGTCTTATTTGCGTCGCCTCAAGTTTATTAGCTTCAAATTCAACAATTTTATGGGATATATTCCATCGTGGTTTGGGTCCTTCCCCAAACTTGAAGGCTTTTATTTGTATGGTAATCAGTTTTCAGGTACCATACCTGCAACTATCTTCAACTTATCTACATTGCAAGACATAGATCTAAGCTATAACAAACTATCAGGTACTTATGTGTCAACAAGGTATCTAGACTCTATTGTTGATCTATCATTACGTTTCAACATCTTGTTATTAATCTATAAGCCTAATATGTTTTTTGTCTTTAGAAAATTATGCTAATTTTTTCTTACTCGCAGGTCATCCAATACTCAAAAACTCTCACTTGAATAGATTATGTATTTGGTTTTTAATTCTATAATGTTGTTGTTGTTGTTTTTGTTTTTATTTTTATTTTTTATATACTCAAAGTTTTTACAAAACTTACATTTATGAAACTAGTGAGTACATGTTGTAGGCTACAAATGATAAGACATAGATGATGGATTGTAAATAATCGGGAATATTTATGACCTTTTTCACATGGAGGCCCATTATAACATAATATTTTATAAATATAAAAAACACCTTTCAAATCTAATACTGTAGAAAAATTCCATATTGTACCTTCAAGTGAAAAAATTGTAACATACTAATAAACCAATTAGAAAGTGACCAAGTGACTAGTTGAGAGTTTTTTTTTTCCTCCAAAAATAGCCACTCTAACAGCTTTTCTATAAATTATGTAATGTGGGGTTTTTCTAATTTCATTTATTTACATGTATTCTGAGTCTTTGTTTGGCATACTTAACAGGTGCAATACCTAGAGAAATAGGGAACTTAACAATGTTGAAGACGATAAATCTTGACTCCAACAATTTCAATGGTATATATATTTGTTGCATTGCCTTGATATGATACAATTATATATGACTCGGCTTTTGTTGCAGTGCATTATACGTGCATAAAACATGAGTTTAACATATAAATGTGCATATATTTTAATGATTTTTCAGAAATTCCAAAAGAGATCGGCTTTTTACATCAGCTGGAGAGGTTGTATGTGCAATTTAATGTCCTAAAAGGCCCTGTTCCTATGGTTGTTTTCAACATGTCTTCTTTGACTACGTTGACTCTATATGAAAACAGCTTGAGTGGTGGTCTTCCAGACAGTATATGCCAACATCTTCCTAGTCTTCAACGCTTGAGTTTGGGTCGCAACCAGTTTGATGGTCCACTTCCATCCAAATTATGGCAATGCAGAGAGCTTCTTATACTATATTTGAGTCAAAACAATTTCAGTGGAAGCATACCAAAGAATATTGGGAACTTAACAATGATGAAGGAGATATCCCTTGGCTACAACAATTTGACGGGTAATTGATATTTCATTATGTTGATCAAATTATGATTTATCTTTTTTATTTTGGTTGCATAATTTATCGTTATTTAACTATTTCATATTTTAGTAAATGAGGGAGATAGTTAATCATGAATATAACAATTTTTTTTGTTCAAAATCGCTGGAAAATTCATTAGAATCGAATAGCAAGGTTTACAATCATGAATATAACATATTGACTTGCCTAATAAACGCTCTATCTAAGTCAATATGTTCAAATCTGAGGTTAACCAACAGAAGAAAAAAAGAAGTATAAGGACATGCAACCTCAAACGTGTTTTGTTTCGAAAGACAAATCTATTTAGGACTTTTATTTTATTTTTAGAGATTTCTGTTTAAAATTTGTTGTATTAATTAATATTATGATGTGACATTTTATACTAAAAGTCATGAACGATTAGATAGGGTTAGATTAGGTTACATAAATCCATATATACTGAAATTGTTGTAGATAGGATTGTGACATTGTGGCACTGGCAGGCACTATTCCATGGTCCTCAATATTCAATATCTCCACCATCACACGGCTGTCGCTTTCTTTTAATCAGCTATCTGGTAGCCTCCCAGCAAACATGGGTCTTGGGCTTCCAAACCTACAAGAACTCTATCTTAATGCAGCTGGTCTCAGCGGAGTACTCCCGAACCTCTCCAATGCTTCTATGCTCACGCGGCTTGGGTTGGCGCGAAACTCATTTACAGGGTTTATTCCTAGCACGCTATGTGCCTTAACAAACCTTCAGCGGCTTAACTTAGCCTCAAATAATTTGACGATTGATACTTCCACTATCTCTTGTTTGGTTAATCTTGGAAATTTGACATTTTTAGCCTTGTCAGCTAATCCGTTAAATGCGAGACTTGATGATTCCTTTCGGAATTTCTCTACATCATCGCTTCAATATCTTTCTTTATTCAATTGCAACATGAGGGGTAACATTCCCATTGGTATTGGCAACTTGAGCAGCTTGGTAATGTTATCCATGGGAGGCAATCAATTGAGTGGATCAATTCCAACTTCACTGGGAAGACTTCGGAATCTCCAAGGTTTGTATTTTGATGGTAACAAGTTGCGAGGACACATCCCATATCAACTATGTCAATTAGATAACCTAGCTTACTTATATTTGAGTAGTAATCAGCTCTCTGGTTCTGTACCTTCTTGCTTGGGAAATCTAACCGCATCTCTAAGAGAGCTATCATTGGCGTCCAATTCGTTGAGTTCCACAATACCATCTAACTTTTGGAGACTTGCCTATATCTTGATTGTAGACTTATCATCTAATTATCTAATTGGAAATCTCTCACAAGATATTGGAAATTTGAAAGTTGTGACAGGGGTAGATTTATCAAATAACAATTTATCTGGTATCCTACCAAGCACTATTGGGGGTCTTCGGGATTTGGTTAATATAT